AGATGAGCACGCGAAGAAATGGGGAAAGCTTGTGCGAAGGCCCCAAGGTGGGAAGGTGAGTGTGCGTGGTGAGTAGTCCGAGACGAGGCAGGGGAGGTGGCAGGGGCGGCCCCTGCCAGGTCTTGTAGGCTGTTAAGGATCATGGTCCTTCCCTTTGGGACAGTGGGAAGCCCTGCAGGGTTTACAAAGCCCAGTGAGGAGGCAGCCCGCAGGGTATCTGAGGAGGCCCTTCCTTCTGCAGATGGCCCCTCTCAGCCAGACAGTCATGGGCAGGGTCCTCCCTCTATCCTTCCGTAGATGTATTCTTCCTGTCCCCAGGGAGAACTGTCCTGTCTTGGAGAGAGTTGAGCTGGGGGTGGCCTCAGCAGCTGGTTTTTCCCCTTCCCAGGGCCCTGGCACTCCCAGCCTCCCCTGGGTGTCTGTGCCTCTTGCCACTTGCTTGTAAGATTCCTAATATAGCCTGACTGTTTCCTTCCCAACTGGTGGCCAAGAGCTGCTCTCCTGTTGCAATCTCAGTTTTTCTTGGGCTTAAAGGGACCACGTCAGCCCATCTCATGCCAAACTGAAGCCAAAGGTAGGGTGATTGATTTAGTTTCATAAACTTGTCCGACCCAGAGATTAGATGTCTTCTCTCTTTCTCCCAATGTACCATTTTCTCTGCTCTCTCCGTGCTCACTTTCCCCTTTCCTTTTTTTTTTTTCTTCTTTCTTCTGAGAAGTAGAGGAACATAGCCAGACATGGATTTGAGTTTGGCTCTGGCATATTGAATCAGCTGTGTCATCTTGGATGAGTCCTTTGTCCTTGCTGGGCCTTAGTTTTTTCTCATCTGTAAAACAGGAACCATAAAATACCTCTCCAGAGCTGTTATTCCACAGAGCTGTTTGCAGATGGACAAAACAGAAAGAGGATAAACAGTTACGGAATGCCTGCTGTTCATGCACTCATTCCTTCATCCGACACATATTTATTGAGTACCTATTTGACACAATTCAAGGCACTGAGGATACCACAGTGAACAAAAAAAGAAAAAAGAATCCTTGCCTTTAAGGAGCTCACATGCCAGTGAGGGGGATGGTCAATAACACACAAAAAAAGCAAAATGTATGTTGCATTAGACACGCTCTAGGAAAGATAAAGCAAGAGAGGGAGACAGAAGACCTTGGGCAGGGGCCGAATCTTAAATAGGGCGGGCACAGGTGGCTTCACTGAGAAGGTGACATATGAGTAAAGGCTTGAAGATAGCCAGAGGGTGAACCGTGTAAGTATCTGGAGGAAGGGCATTACAGGTAGAGGGAACAGCAATGGCAAGGCCCAGAGGTGCTTCCATGACTCACATGCATCAGCAAACAGCCTTTGTGGCTAGAGTGGAGTGAGGGAAAGGGGAGCATGGGAGGAGAGGAGCACAGAGAAGCGATGGGGATGAAGTTCAGGCAGGGCCAGTGGGTCACTAAGAACATCAGTTTTTCTTCTGAGTAAGAAGGGGCAGTGCAGCGTCGTGATCTGACTTAATACATGTGAACAAAATCCCTCTGACTGCTGTGTGAGGGATGGATAGAGGGGCAAGGGTAAAATCAGGAGACCAGTGTGGCAGTGACTATGAAAATCCAGGCGAGAGAGAACGGTGGCACAGACCACCATCTAGTCAAAGGGAGGTGGTAAGAAGCGGCTGGATTCTGGATTCGTTTGGAAAGAGCTGATAGATATTTGCAGAATGCTGTATGGGTTTTTTTTCCTGAAAAGTTTCTTTACAATTTATTTATTAAAAAAAATAAAAAAACCCAGAAAACAAAAAAATGCAATTTATTTATTTACATTACAAAAATCAGCTTTATCAAGGTGTGATTTCTATATGATAAAATACATTTGAAATGTGAAGCTGTGACAAATGTATACACTTGCGTAAACCATCAACCAATCAAGATGCAGAACATTTGGCTGGGTCAGGTGGCTTATGCCCGTCATCTCAGTACTTTGGGAGGCCGAGGTGGGTGGATCACCAGAGGTCAGGAGTTCAAGACCAGCCTGACCAACATGGTGAAACCCCACCTCTACTAAAAATACAAAAATTAGCTGGGCACAGTGGCACATGCCTATAGTCCCAGCTACTGGGGAGGCTGAGGCAGGAGAATCCCTTGAACCCAGGAGGCGGAGGTTGCAGTGAGCTAGGATTGCAACACTGCACTCCAGCCTGGGCAACAGAGTGAGACTCCATCTCAAAAAAAAAAAAAAGGAATTGCCGAGGTCACCCAATGAGATGGAGTTTTTGGACAGGTTCAGTCAGTCATTTTGCAGATATTAACAGAGCATCTCTATGTACCAGGCACTGTTCCAGGTTCTGGAATCCATCCAAGAACAAAATAGAAAATATCCCTGTCCTCGTGGAGCTTCTGTTCTAGCAGAGGGAGAAAAGTAATTAATGTGATAAATAAGCCACTTGGTATGTTAGAAGGTGATGTGTGCTATGGGAAAAATAAGGAAAAGTAGATCAGCAGGCAGGGTGGTGGGGATGCAGGCAGATTGCAATTTTGGAAAAAAATGTTGTGGGTTCATAATAGGTATATGTATTAAATATTTATGGGCTACATGAGATGTTTTGATAAAGGCACACAATGTGAAATAAGCAGATTACAATTTTAAAGAGGGTGGTGTATTCTTCAGTGTTCTCTAGAGGGACAGAATTAGTAGGATATATATACAAGTTTACTAAGGAGTATTAACTCAGACGATCACAAGGTCTCACAATGGGCTGTCTGAAAGCTGAGGAGCAAGGAAGCCAGTGCGAGTCCCAAAGCTGAAGAACTTGGAGTCTGATGTTTGAGGGCAGGAAGCATCCAGCAAGGGAGGATGCTGTAGGCTGGGTGGCTAAGCCAGTCTAGCCTTTTCATATTTTTCTGTCTGCTTTATATTTGCTGGTGGCTGATTAGAAAGTGCCCAAGCAGATTAAGGGTGGGTCCACCTTCCCCAGCCCACTGACTCAAATGTTAATCTCCTTTGGCAACCCCCTCACAGATACACCCAGGATCAATACTTTGCATCCTTCAATCCAATCAAGTTGATACTCAGCATTAACCATCGCAGGGGTGCAGAATATGTCTCATTGTGCAAAGACTTGAAGGATATCTGGAGGAAAAGAGTTCCAGGAAGAGGGTAGAGCCGTGCAACAGCAGGTCTGCTGGGGTGAGCTTAAGAGTCCCTGCCGTGGTTGTTTACCCAGCCATCTTGCTCCTGGACATTTAGTAGGAGGAAGACCTTTCGGTTTTTATTAACCAGAAAGAACGTATCAGCTTGCGTTTTAAAAAAAACAAGAAGGCTCAGATTTTCTGTCTTTGGTGCACTGAATGTTATGTATTAGGTACTGTTCTATATGTTGGAGGTACAAAGATGAAAGCAGAGAACTGCCTTTCAGTGGCACTGCCATGGGAGAGAAAGACCAAGACGGTGGCCCAGCTGTGTGGGGGGCGAATGAGGGGAGATGTGAGCTGGAGGTGGTTGTGTACCATCTAAGAGGACACAAATTTCCAAGGTGACATCTGGAGCTATTGAGGGGAGGGGAAGGGGTTGGGGATATATTTGGGGGGATCAGCAGGACATAGATGGCAGTTTAAAAACACCAGATGATGCAATCATCTAGAGAGAATAGGAGAAGGTTTTGGATGAGCCCTGGGGAGAACCACATGTCAGGATGGGGGTGAAGGATGAAATTATTTTGGCAGCTGTGTATCAGCTTGTCATACAACTCAGGTGACCTCACACATGAGCACAGCTTTGTAGAGCCACAGTCTCACACACATATCTTTGCTTTCAGAGTTTTTCAGAGACATTAACTCGTTTAAACCTCAAACAAACAAACAAAAACAAACAAAATACCCTAGGAGGTAAGAGGCAGTTATTATCTCTGGCAGATGAGGAAGCTAAGGCACAGGGAGGTTAAGTCAGTTGCCCAAGGTCACACAACTAGTAAAGGCAGAGGCAGGATCTGGACCCAGGGGCCCTGGCTCTGCAGTCTGTGTTCTAAACCACTACTCTCTACTGCCTCTCCACGCACATACAACTTGCATGGCTACTAACAAAGCATCTCAGTCCCAGCAGCTCACGGACTTGTGTACAGGCAGGACCTAGGTTGCCAACACCTTGTACACACCACTAGCCTTCCTCCATATGGTCTCACCTGGTCTCAGTGTCTCAGTTTCATTGATGCCCACCACACACTCAGTCTGGAGTGCTACATATTACTTTGTTCTTTGGCACTCTGATAGCCTTGCACACTCAGAACCTCATACACATCCAAAATGTCACCTCCATGAGATCTCAGGCACTCACCCACTGTGCACACACTGCACTGCACACTCATGATTTGTGTGTGTGTGTGTGTGTGTGTGAGAGAGAGAGAGGGTCTCAGTCTGTAGCCCAGGCTGGAGTGCAATGGCACAATCATGGCTCACTGCAGCCTTGACCTCCGAGGCTCAGGTGATCCTCCCACCTCAGCCTCTCTAGTAGCTGGGACCACAGGTGCATACCACCACGCCTGGCTGATTTTTGCAGAGAGAGGTTTCCCCATGTTGCCCAGGTTGGCCTTGAACTCCTGAGCTTGAGAGATCTGCCCACCTCGGCCTCCCAAAGTGCTGGGACTACAGGCATGAGCCACCTCCCCGGCCTCATGATCTTATATAGTCAAAAGACATCGATATGCATGCCCACAGTGTCTTGTACACACGATCTTGCACACATACACACAGAGCTCCAGGCTCTCCAACATTCACACTATCATGCGAACTCACTGGCTTATCCGTACATGAGCTGTGACCTTACCATGTTCCCACCAACGGAAATTTTCCCACCATCGTGCAAGCTCCTCCTGGCTGACCCACTTGTGTTACTGCACACTCTAATAGGTTCACACTCCCCCACCCCGCCTTGCTCACTCCTGCCCTCACCCTCCCAGGCCACTGTGCACACGCGCCCTCTCCTTGCCCACTGACGCGCCCTCTCCTCGCCCGCAGGGACGTACCAAGGCCAGTTCACCAACGGCATGCGCCACGGCTACGGCGTGCGCCAGAGCGTGCCCTACGGGATGGCCGTGGTGGTGCGCTCGCCGCTGCGCACGTCGCTGTCGTCCCTGCGCAGCGAGCACAGCAACGGCACGGTGGCGCCGGACTCGCCCGCCTCGCCGGCCTCCGACGGCCCAGCGCTGCCCTCGCCCGCCATCCCACGCGGCGGCTTCGCGCTCAGCCTCCTGGCCAACGCCGAGGCGGCCGCGCGGGCGCCCAAGGGCGGCGGCCTCTTCCAGCGGGGCGCGCTGCTGGGCAAGTTGAGGCGCGCAGAGTCGCGCACGTCCCTGGGCAGCCAGCGCAGCCGCGTCAGCTTCCTCAAGAGCGACCTCAGCTCGGGCGCCAGCGACGCCGCCTCCACTGCCAGCCTGGGCGAGGCCGCCGAGGGCGCCGACGAGGCTGCGCCCTTCGAGGCCGACATCGACGCCACCACCACCGAGACCTACATGGGCGAATGGAAGAATGACAAACGCTCGGGCTTCGGCGTGAGCGAGCGCTCCAGCGGCCTCCGCTACGAGGGCGAGTGGCTGGACAACCTGCGCCACGGCTACGGCTGCACCACGCTGCCCGACGGCCACCGCGAGGAGGGCAAGTACCGCCACAACGTGCTGGTCAAGGACACCAAGCGCCGCGTGCTGCAGCTCAAGAGCAACAAGGTCCGCCAGAAGGTGGAGCACAGTGTGGAGGGTGCCCAGCGCGCTGCTGCCATCGCGCGCCAGAAGGCCGAGATCGCCGCCTCCAGGTAGGACAGCGGTGATGGGGGTGGAAGGGGTTGCCTTTGGTTGGGGAAGAGGGGCCTGGGGCAGGGTAACTTAGAAGGCCCTGTCTCCAAGCCTGATTCTGCTTCTTTTACCCCCATCACCTTCAGAGGGTTAACTGGAGGCGCTTCAGGAGCTGGTGCCTCCTGTTCACTCATCCATCATCCATCACTCAACTACACCCAGCCCTCCATTGACTTAACCCTTCCACTCACTCAGCCTCTCTAATATGCTCCTGGACAACCATCTCTCCAGTCATCCACCCATCCCCCCACCCATTCCACTTCCTGTTTACCCACCCAGCCATCTAGTCAAACATCTATCCACACATCCTGGCAGTCAATCACCAGACGCCCACCCAAATCCACCCAATTCCTTCATTCACTAACTTCTCTAACACTCACTGAACAACCCCTCTACCCACCCAGCCACCCCCGGTCCCACATCATCATCTACCCAAACAACCACCCATTCACTCAAAGATTGACTCATCTCTTCCATCCAACCTCCCCAATTTTTAATCCTTTTACCTTCCCAGCCAGCTAATCACTCATCCATCCATTGATTCAACCACCCATCCAACTACCAAGATGCCCTTCTAAACATACAAACACCCTTTCAGCCACTCACCTGTCCCTTCATCCACCAATCACCTGCATTCACTCAGCTGCTTCCAGCCACCTGGCCATCCATCTTAACATCCAGCCACACATCCATTCACTCAAGTACTTCCATTGATTCACCCAGCAATGCTTCAGTCCATTAAAACAACATGCACTCCCACCCACCGGGTAATCCAACCAGCCACCAGGTAATCCAACCAGCCAGCCAGCCACCTCTCTTACTCAACCACACTTCCATCCAGCAATCTGTCCACACTTCCATTCATTCAGCCACCCCCACCTATCCATCCACCCATGCATCCATCCACGTTCCCATCCACTAAACACCAACCGGATCATCTACATTCAAACCCCTTTAAGTCTTCTCTTTGTACTTCACATAAAGTTCTAATGTTTCACATAAAGTTCCAAACATTTATGGCACCTACTAGGTACAAGTCAGTTCTAAGTGGTTCACAGATATTGACTCACTCAGTCCCTTTAATGTTTGAGAGGTGATTAATCGTTATGATAGGTACTATGTTAATTTCTGTTTTGCAGATGAGATAAGTGAAGCTCAGATAGATAAGATGACTTGTCCAAAATCACCCAGTTAGTGAGTGGCCTTTTATAATCTGGTTCCCACCCTCTTACCAGACTTATTTTTTTCTCATTCTTTCCCTGAGCTTGGATTTTTCTTCCCTCTGTGCTGCTTCTTCCTTCTTTAGTTCCTCCTGCCACAGAGCTTTAGTTCATACTGGTTCCTTTGCTGCCCACATGACTTCTACTCCTTCGGAGGTCAGGGCAACCCTGATCCCCTTAGAGAGCTGCTGAGGTTCACTGTCAGCTGCTGTTCTGTCCTTAGAACGCCTCACAGATGCAGCTTTACATGACTTACATGATTTGTTTTTAACCCACCACTTAAATAAGATTCCTTGTGTGCCAGTTCTGAGGTCTTTACCTACATTAATTACCTACAGTAACTACCTGAAGAGGTAGATATTGTTCTTATTCTCATTTTGCAAATCCGGAGTGAGCTGCAAGGACAGCAGTGGTGTGGTCTGGCAGGAGGATGGTAAAAGGCACTCACCTGTCCTGGGCTGTAGCAATTCTCCTGGGAAGCGGTAAATGGCCTGGGCGGGAGAGGGGCACATGATCTTCAGAGTTAAGCAGGCCTAGGGCCAAATCTTGGCCCTGCCATTTTTTAGCTCATTGATCTGGGCAGATCAGTTGGCCTGAGTGTCAGTTTCTCATCTGTGGCACTGCCATTTCTTAGTTGTATGTCCTTGGCCAGATCTGTTTTCTTCTTCTCTAATCTCAGTGGTCTCATCTATAAAGACAAGTTGGTCTAAGGGTTAGGAAAGACAGTGCAGGTCAGGTGGCTCACAATCCTGTTGTGAGGTGAGTTCGCCTGGGAAGTGGACTTTGAGATGAAGATTAACATGCAGGAAATGCATAAGGAGCACTCTCTGGGTCAACACTTGTGGGGAAGGGAAGAAGGCCAGATTGGGCAGTGGGAGACTGGTTGCAATGCAGTCTCAACAAAGCCTCAGCCAACCATAAGGGGTGCTCTGCAGTGGAGATAGCCTTCAAAGTCATCCCAAGTTGGGATGAGGGAGCTGGATCTTTAAACCCTCCACATTTGTATGCAGGCTACCCTCTGGAAGGAGGCTGGACTGGGGCTGGACAGCTCTCTTCAGCCAAGGGCAATCCCTGGAGAGGGCTGGCAGCTGGCAACTGTCTGAGTACCTGGGAGTGGGAGAAATAAGTCCTTCAGTCCTGACGGGGAATCCGGGTGGCCCATCATAGTCACCACTACAGTCCCGGACATCAGACATGGTGTCATTGTCATCATACAATGAATTCATTTTACGGATGTAGAAACTGAGGCCCAGAGAAGGAATGTAATATGCCCAAGACTACCTGACAAGCAAGTGGGAGAACCCAGGCATCAACTTCTAGCTTTCTGATTCTAAAACTTTAACTAGCACATCTTGCTAATGCTCAACTTTGTAAACTTTAAATTGCTCTAAATGTGTGAACAGTTGGCATCATTAAGGGGGACAGAAGGCATGGGAGATTTTCTTAAGACTTCTTGGTTAGATGCAACTATGGTTTGAATGTTTATTCCCTCCAAAACTCATGTTGAAATTGTCGTTGTAATATTAAGACACGGGACCTTTGAGAGATGCTTAGTCCTGAGACTAATGCCCGAGTGGTGATTAACCCTCATGGGTAGGATTAAATCCATTATAAAAGAGTGGGGTTGACTCCTTTTTGCCTTTTGGCACTCCTGCCTTCTGCTCTGTGAGGATCCAGCCTTCCTCCCCTCCAGAGAATGCAGCATGCAGGGTGCCATCTTGGAGGAAGATAATGGCCTCTCCAGACCCTGAACCCACTGGTGCCTTGACTGTAGACTTCATCTAAAAATGACCCAGTCCTAGATATTCTGGTAAAGGACCAGGATTATGACCAGGTGGTCATATAATTGACTGTCTAAACCTGAACACCTCTATGAGTAAAAGGGAGCACTTTTTAAAAATAAAACTTTTAGGTAGAAGTAATTTTAGATTTACAGAAAAGTTGCAAGGAGACTACAGACAGTTCCTATACACTCTATCCATTTTCCCCTAATGTTAACTTCTCACATTATCATAGTACATTTGTCAACGCCAACATGGCACATAACTCTTCACTGAACTCCAGACTTTATTTGCGTTTCACTAAATTTCCCATGAATGTCCTTCCTGTTTCAGGATTTCACGCAGGATCGCACATTGCATTTAGTTGTCAGGTCTTCTTTGTCCCCTGTGGTCTGTGACAGTTTCTCATTCTTTCCTTTTTTTGTAAGTCCTTGACAGGTTTTTTTTTTTTTTTTTTTTTGAGGCAGGGTCTCACTGTGTGGCCCAGGCTGGAATGCAGTATCACCATCTCGACTCACCGCAACCTCTGCCTTCTGGGTTCAAGCGATTCTTGTGCCTCAGTCACCAAAGTAGCTGGAACCATGGGTGTGTGCCACCATACCTGGCTAATATTTGTATTTTTTGCAGAGACAGGGTTTTACCATGTTGGTCAGGCTGTTGTCAAGCTCCTGGCCTCAAGTGATCCTCCTGCTTTGGCTTCCCAAAGTGCTCATATTACAGGTGTGAGCCACACGCCAAACCCAACAGTTTTGAGGAATACTGGTGAGATGGTTTGTAGAGTGTCCCTCAATATAGGTTTGTCTGATATGTTTCTTATAATTAGACTGAGGTTATAGATTTGGGGGAAGAAGACCACAAAGTAAAGTGCCCTTTTCATCACATTGTAATGGGGACACATGATATGAACATGACTGATTACTGAGGATATTAACTTTGATCTCTTGGCTAAGGTGGGTCTTCCAGGTTTCTCTGATGTCTGGCTCCTATTTCCTCTTTTCCCATTCTACCCTTTGTAATTCAGACACTCAGTGCAGCCCACACTCAAGAGAGACAAAGGTCTGAAATTCAGCTGCACCAGATTTTGGAGGGGGCAATATCTACCTATATTATTTGAAATTCTTCTGTTTGGAAGATTTGCTCCTTCATCCAAAGGGAACATTTTTAATAATTACACTAAATGTATCTAATTATGACAAGTGTAAGCCCAGACTCCCGGGCCACCCTGGGACACTTAGGCAGAGAACAGCAGGAAAGAGCTTAGGTTCTTAATTCAAAAGACCATGAATTAGAAATGCAGCTCTTCTCCTGCAGAGCTGTGTGACCTTGCTCAAGTTCTTCACTACTCTGACCCTGCGATCCTCTTTCCTCAGAGAAGTAGGTGAGCTAATGCCTGTAGAATGCTTGGCACAGGGCAGCCAGCAGTAAAGACGTTCGTTGCTACAATCTAACATTTGATTTTAAAGGTGAGGAAGTGGAAGTTTTGGGAGAAGGAGGAATGCCCCCTTATTTTCCTTGCCCTCCTGGTCTTTCCTGCCAATGCCTGTGCCCTTGCACGTGGAGGTGTCGAGCTCCCTCCGAGAAGGCTGGCAGGCCCACAGCCGGGAAGTGAGCCTGGGGACTGAGCAGTTGGGACCCAGCTTCTCGCATGCAGTGGTGCTGTGAGAGCCCCGGGGGATTTGCATTCCTTGTGTGTCTGAGACAGGAGTCCTGCCTGCCCACGGAGCTGTTGCCATGGATGGGGGTGGCTGCCTGGATGGGTTTCAAGCTTCAGGCTGAATTTCCAATTAAGGGAATTTTGGGGTCAGGAGGAAAAGCAGGATTGTGGTCATCTTCCTCAGGGACTCTCCCCAGTCCTGGGCTTCATGAGTAATCTGGCAGCAGATAGACAGAAAGCATCCCCAGCAGCCACAGCCTCCTCACACCCAGACAGGCCCTGGTTCTCTCTCCATCGTGGCTTCCAGCTCCTCCCTCCGGGCTTATGTGGAACTTGTCAGCCCAGAGGCTACAATCAGGATATCTTTCCTAAGAGAAGGGAGAAGGATGAGACAGCTCTTCCCTGTAAAATGAGCTATGAATTGAAAAAGATTCTTAACCTAGATTGTCCAGTATGGTAGCCACGCGTCATACATGACACTAGGAATGTAGCTGGTTCAAATGGAGATGAGCTGTAAATGTGAAACATATCCTGGATTTCAAAGACTTAGTATGAAAAGAATGTAAACTAACCTATTAATAATTTTTAAAATATTGATTACATAGTGAAATGGTTATATTTTAGATATATCGGGTTTAACAAAATACATTATTAAAATTAATTGTGCTGTTTCTTTTTACTTTTTTGAAGGTGGCTACTAGAACATTTAAAATTGCATATGTGATGCATGTTATGTTTTCCTTGGACAGTGTCACTGTAGACCCATTCAGGGCCCTCAGAATAATCCCAACCCTGTCACTATGCAGTTGGGGAAACTGAGGTGCAGAAAAGGATCTAGATATACTCACATCCACAAAATGATCGGGAGGGAACTAGATTTATGTCTTCTGATTTTGTAGCTAAGAACTCTTTTGTGATGCCTTTTAAGGTCATAGATGCTGGATTGTGGAGGGAAGCTGGTATGTTTGGGGAGGTGCCTAAAGTTTTCAGGTTGTCATGCCAATACCCTGATAAATGCGTGTTTTCTGGAAGGAACACAGTGAGTGTTCAGAGTAAGGCTTAAACCCAGCCCCTTGCTTGCTATATCTTGTCTTCCCTCCAGACCTCAAATTTCTAATTTCTAAAAGACCCACCTTGAAAAGTTTTCACAAGGTTAAAGCAGAGCCTCTACATGAAGGATATATACACAGGGCTCAGGGTTTACAAGCAGGAAGTAGCCTGTAAGTGTCAGCTGCCATTGCTGTTGTCTAGTCTTCTTGCTGTTGTGTCCCCATGGCAGAGGCAGGGGATGGCCTGTTCTCAGTTGCCCTAGGGTGTGAGGTTTGGAGCATCTCAGGTTTTGTACCAGGGTGACATCTGTCTGTCTTCTATCCCCCTCAACCCCCCACCTCCATCTCCCTACCATGCTGGCTCTGGAAATTCCCAAGTTGAGCACAGCTTAGAGTTGGCTTCTTCAGTTGCTGGGAGCTGAATTTCTCTGGTGAGCAGGAGCCACTGGAGGGAAGAGAGTCTGACACTGGATTAGGTCTCAGGGGGGCTCTTGATAATAATTGCCCAACTTTGAACCTGCTTATTGAATTTTTATTTAATACGCATTCATCTAGTCTTTATTTCTGGGGGCCAGGCATGATTTTAAGTGCCTTACATATGTTACCTTTTTTTAAATTTCCTTTTTGTGGAGAACAGGGTCTTGCTATATTGCCCAGGCAGGTCTCAAACTCCTGAGCTCAACCTATCCTCCCGCCTTGGCCTTCTTAAGAGCTGGGATTATAGGTGTGAGCTACTGTGCCCACTGGGAATGTATTATTTAATCCTCAAAACAACCCTGTGTGGGAGGTACTGTTATTTTTATTTTACAGATGAAAAAACAGGCACAGACAGGTTAAGTATCTCAAAGAGGTGGCACAACTGAGTCATGGCAGAGCTAGAAGTTGAAGCCAGGTGACCTGGTTCTAGAATGCTCTTAGCCACAATCTGACCTTTGGTTGGTTTTCTTTCACAAACTTTAATAAGCACTTACTCTGCACCCGGCTTGTGCCAGGGTGCTGAGCACCCAGTGGTGAACCAGTGTGGGCAGTGTCCTCTGGGGACTCCTAGGTTGGGGACGAAGCCATGCAGGGATCGGACAGTCAGTGGCGGAGGACAGGGAGGAAGGAGCTGAAATTGGTGGGGTCCAATGGAAAGAGCAACTAACAATTCCAGAGGAGGTCTAGGAAAGCTCCCTGCAGGGCCACCTCTAGCTGGGAGTCTGCCAGGTGGAAAAGAGGAAAAGCAAGGTCATTCCAGGTAGAAGAACCAGCATGTGCAAAGGCATGGAGGTAGGAATGCACACGGTTTATTTTGGGAGCAGTGAGTCATCCAGAATGCTGAAGTGGGTGGGGAAAGATTAGAGATGAGGCGGAGAAGGCAGCCTGGGCCAGGTTAGGACTGGTTTTGAATGCCCGGTGGAGTGGAAGTCTGATGTTACAAGCTAAAAGTATCCAGGGGCCAGGCAGGCCACAGGTTTGTGTCCTACTCGCTAGAGGGTGGTGGGCTCATGGGAACCAGGTCTCCCGGGTCTCCGCAAGACCCCTTGGGTGGTGCTGCCCTTCCTACTAACGGCTGTCCCGGAGGAACATGGATTCAATGTTAGCACAGCTCTTGATTTTTCAAGACAAACTAGAGACTGGCATTTTGTTATAAAATCTTCCAGTTTTTGACTTTTCATTATGGGAAGGTGTGAAGCATATATATAAACAGAGAGAGTGGTAAACTGAACACACATGTACCCATTAACTGGATTTAATAATTGTTAGCAGTTTTGCCATATTTACTTCATCTTTTTGTTTTGTTTTGTTTTTGAGACAGGGTCTCACTTTGCAGCCCAGGCTGGGGCCCACTACCTGGGGCTCAAGTATCCTCCCACCTCAGCCTCCCAAGTAGCTGTAGTGCATGCCACTACAACTGGCTAACTAAAAAAAATTATTTGACCAGGCAAGGTGGTTCACACCTGTAATCCCAGCACTTTGGAAGGCCAAGGCGGGTGGATCACAAGGTCAGGAGTTCAAGACCAGCCTGGCTAATACAGTGAAACCCGTCTCTACTAAAAATACAAAACTTAGCCAGGCATGAGGGCAGGTGCCTGTAGTCCCAGCTACTCGGGAGGCTGAGGCAGGAGAATCACTTGAACCTGGGAGGCAGAGGTTGCCAGTGAGCTGAGGTGATGCCATTGCACTCCAGCCTGGGCAACAGAGCAACACTCCGTCTCAAAAAAAAAAAAAATTATTTGTAGAGATGAGGTCTTGCTATATTGCCCAGGCTGGTCTTGAATTCCTGGCCTCAGGTGATTCGCCTCCCAAAGTGCTGGGATTATAGGCGTGAGCCACCACCCCTGGCCTGTATTTGTCTTTTTGTTATTTATTGACTAGACTCTCAATTCTGTTCCAACAATCTATATACTTCAATCCTTATGCCAGAGGCTGGTCTTGATTACTATAGCTTTGTACTAAGTTTTAAAGTTGGGAAATGTGAGTACTCTAACTTGTTCTTCTTTTTCAAGATTATCTTGGATATTAAGATTATCTTGCATTTATTTATCAAGATTATCTTGCATTTCGATATGGATTTTAGCATTAGGTTGTCAATTTCTACAGGGGAAAAAAATGCCGCTGGGATTTGATAGGGATTTTCTTAAATCTGTAGATCAATTTAGGGAATGTTGTTCTTTTAACAATTTTAAGTCTTCCAATCCATGAACATGGAGCATTTCCATTGGTCTAAGTCTTTAATTTTTTCAGTGATGCTTTGTAGTTTTCAGTGTTCAATTTTATACTTATTTTGCTAAATTTGTTTCTAAATGTTTTATTCTTTTTGCTGCTACTTTAAGTAAAATTGTTTTTAATTTTTCTTTTCAGCTTGGGAGCTGTGTCATAAATCTCTTAGTCTAGAGCATCCTCCTCATTTTTTTTTTTTATAATTTGTCAGACTTATTCCTTATGATGCTGTTTAGTTTCTCTCTTTCCTATAATCCTGTAAATTCTATCTAGAAAGGATTCAGATTAGATTTTTCTGACATGAAAACTTAATAAATAGTTCTGGGTACTTGATACTGTATCACATCAGGGGGCACATAACATCTGGTTAGTGTGAAATCTTTCAATTCCTTTTTTCGGGTTCAAGCATATCTCATGTCTCAGCCTCCCCAGTAGTTGGAATTACAGGCATGCATCACCACTCCCAGCTAAGTTTTGTATTTTTAGTAGAGACGGGGTTTCGCCATGTTGGCCAGGCTGGTCTTGAACTCCCGACCTCAAATGATTCGCTGCTTCAGCCTCCCAAATTGCTGGAATAACAAGGCGTGCGCCACCATGTCCTGCGTGAAATCTTCCAGTTCTTAAGTACTTTGCATAACAAATTGGAGGACTTGGTTTAGGAGCAGGGGTTAGGGGGAAGAGGGTAGAAGAAGGTGGTGAAGAATAGGGTGGGGTCACAGGCAGTGGGATGGAGCAACAGGAAAATGGGGAGAGGCCCAGCACATCCTTCACTAAACCCCAAAGCTCTCACATCCATGCAGGAAAACCCACCATTGTGTGGCTACATACATACACATGCACACATACACACACTCACACACATGACAAATATTATGCAGGCCGGGCAAATCACGTATTTGTGCTTACGCAGCCCCTGCCCCCGCTTCGTGAGTGGGTAGCCATGAGAGCTGGGAGCGGCCTGCCCAAATGTGTATGACCATACCCGGATCATGGCTCTTGTCACGAGAATGAGGGGTTGTGTGGCAAGGGTCAAGCTGTAGTCTGGGCATCAGTGAGGCTGCTGCAGCGATCTGGGGAGATGGTGGAGACCTGAAATGTGGCAGAGCCACTGGAGTGGAGAGGCAGGGTCTGGTGGCACCATTAGGAGGCTGGCCAGGGGCTTGGGCTTCCAGAAGCCTGGGGCAGTTAGTCAAATTATCCTTTTTGTATTCTTCTTTTTTTTTTAGTTGGAGGAAGGAGAATGTTGATTTTTTGTTGTTGTTGTTGACACCGAGTCTCACTCTGTCACCCAGGCTGGAGTGCAGTGGCGCCATCTCAGCTCACTGCAACCTCCACCTCTCAGGGTCAAGCAATTCTCTGCCTCAGCCTCCCGAGTAGCTGAGATTACAGGCACCCACCACCACGCCCAGCTAATTTTTGTATTTTTAGTAGAGACAAGGTTTCACCATCTTGGCCAGGCTGGTCTTGAACTGCTGACCTTGTAATCCACCCATCTCGGCCTCCCAAAGTGCTGGGATTACAGTCATGAGCCACTGTACCTGGCCGAATGTTGATTTTCTAATTGGAGGAAGGGGAGTGTTGAGGTGACAGTCTGCCCACTGTTGAATCAGGGGGGTTGCAGGTGTTGAGAGATGTCTGCCTTAGATTGTGGGGGAGAAGGGAGGGGAAATGCCCAGCTCCAACATGCGGTGAAGGCCAGTAATGAGCCCAGGGCCACACGGCACCCCGAAGGGCAGCTCAGGTCACCTTCACCCAACACATTCTCCCTTTCTGCATCCAGGACGTTGTCAGCAGGTGGGAAAGAAATGAAGAACCCATTGTTTCCTTTCCTTGTTACCTCACCACATGCCCTTTCCTCATCTATCAGGGGAAGGCCATTGTGTCGGAAACAGAGGCAGCCACGTAGAGCAGAAGGAGCACTGGAATGAGAGTCAGGTGATCTGAGGACTGACTCAGCCTCAGCACTCATTTCCAGTCACATCTTCCAGCCTCAGCTGTCTCAGGGGATCCCAAGAGAGTGTGGATAATAATGGCCAACACTATTGGATGACGTTCATTGAGGACGTCATATGTGGCGGCCACTAAGTGCTCAGCTAAATTAACTCATCTAATTCTAACTTAGGCATATAGAGAAATTTTTTTTTTCCTTCGGGGGGGACAGGGTCTCACTCTGTCACCCAGTCGTGAGTACAGTGGTGTGATCTTGGCTCACTGCAACCTCTGCCTCCTGTGCTCAAGTGATTCTCCTGTCTCAGCCTCCCGAATAGCTGGGATTACAGGTACATGCCACTGCCACTGGCTAATTTTTGTATTTTTAGTAGAAACAGGGTTTCACCATGTTGACCAGGCTGGTCTTGAACTCCTGACCTCAAATGACCCACCTGCCTCAGCCTCCCAAAGTGCTGAGATTACAGGTGTGAGCACCATGCCCGGCTCTTGGTTTTCACATGCCCTCAGTCACACAGCTTGTAAGTGATAGAGCTGAAATTCTGGCCCTGATCTATCTATGCCGCCACTTCAGATACAGTGGGTTTCTCTTTCTCTTTCTTTTTTTCTTTTGTTACATTGCTCTAACATACCTGTCATTAAAATCCAAGGAAGATCTTACACATATGAAATCCAAGGAAGGTCATATGCATACAAAATAAAAAAGTGATAGATAAAACCCCCACTCTACTTCCACCCTCGTTGCACCTCTAAAGTGACCGTTTACAGTTCGCTTATAGAATTCTTCTACTTACTTACCTGTTCTGGTTTTGTTTTTGTTTTTCCTAAGTAGGACTACCCAGATGATGTTCTGTAACTTGTGTTTTTGATGTAATATGTTTTGAGATCTTTTTAAGTAATACACGGAGATGTATCTTCCTCTCTTATCAGCTGTATACTGGTCCGAAGTGCGGAGGTACCGTGATTCATTTAACCGGATCTCTTTTGATGGAGACTGAACCCATTTCATGTTTTTTTGATCACCAGTGAGGCTGCAATGAACAGCCTTGGACCAATATCCTTGCTCACAGGACTGGTTAAAGGAATGCCCCAGCCAGGCAATGTATCCCATCAGGGACATTCAAGCAGCACTGGAACACATTGGGAATATAATGGTAATTCACGCGGGTCTTTGCAAGGGACTGACTCTCCTGACATTTACTGTCAAAGTGTCAATTTGGTTCCTCTTGATAGGGACCAAATTGAGTGAATTCAGCAAAAATCCAACCAACCCCATCCAGTGTCTCACCCCACCCTCCAGTATATGTTCAACAAATATTTAAAGAATAATCGTTGCAAGAGACATGCAGATGAAACTTTATGGATTAAATTCTTAAAAGGAGAATTTTGGGGGCAAGAGAAATGTACATTTTAATTATTATCAGAACCCAAGTTAAATCCAAAAGGGTTGCACTCAGTTTATAACTTCCCACCAGTACATGAGTGAAGTCTTCTCACACCCTGGCTGCCGGAGCTATGTGCAATGAGTCTTTTGCATCTTTGCCAAACTGAAGAAAATCTGGTGTTCCATGAACCCAGTGTCCACCTGCAACACTCCTCCAAACAACTGCCCATAGCCGCAGAGGCTACATCTGTCCTCTTTCTCAGTGTCTCTGGCTCGCCTCCTGAGATGCCTGGATAGGTTGGAGTTTCCACTAAGTGAGACTGAATTCCCTGAGGATGAGCTTAAAGTGTTGGAAAGGCCCCCGACCCTGAACCTGCACTTTACCATATCCATCCTTTGTGAATTACCAGATGGACAAAATCCCTTTGTGCCCAGAAACTGAGGTGCAGGAGTGAATGGAATTTCCTGAGTTGTCAGACCCGGATTCTCGCGACATACACAAGGCAGCTGTGACTCCGAGGCTGAGTGGTCTGGGGAGAGAGAGAGGAGCTTGCCTGGGTCCCTGGCAGCAGGGCGATGTTAGAGAGCTACAGTGACCATGCATTTGGGGGAGCCAGGTCTTCCACGCTTGGAGTGTAGAGAACTAGAGAAAAGACCCAGCATGCCCCCTTCAGTCCTCAGAAAAAGCTGGTAAGAGCTGGAAGGTGCCTTAGGAAAGAGGAGGCCCAATGTGCTCATTTCACAGATGGAGAAACTGAGGCCTAGCAAGGTGCAGAGACCCAGCTAGGGTTGTACAGTGAGTCCGGGTCAGAGCAGAGATGAGTGTGGCTGGTAGGCAGGGTGAGGGAGGCTCTTGTGAAGCCTCAGTTGGCTTCTGGGTCACAATTAATAAATCAAATGAAAGAGGACAGAGCTCTTCGAAGTGGAAAGGAATGTTTTTATCCCTCCACCCTTATAAGCAGTGCTTAGGGCCTAGCTCCAGAATGTTTCCAGCTTTACTTTTCATTTTTTGTGTGTGTGTGTGTGAGTCGGGAGTGAGTCTTGCTCTGTGGCTCAGGCTAGAGTTCAGTGGTGCAATCTTGGTTAGCTGCAGCCTCCTCCTCCCAGGTTCAAGCGATTCTCCTGCCTCAGCCTCCCCAGTAGCTGGGACTATAGGCACTCTGCCATGCCCAGCTAACTTTTGTATTTTTTTTAGAGATGGGGTTTCACCGTGTTGGCCAGCCTGGTCTTGAACTCCTGACCTCAGGTGATCTGCCTGCCTTGACCTCCCAAAGTGCTGGGATTACAGCCATGAGCCATTGTGTCTGGCCCAGCTTTACTTTTTAGCCCAAGTGGCAGAGTCAGAGAACATACAGGCCAGCAGCCTGTGCCTTTGGGAGAAAAACATCCAGGTCCCACAGATGCAAGGGTTTCCCCACAGTGAGACCAGTGCCTGCTCCTGGCTCCTGAGCTGAGCCCCAGGGATTCGGTTCAGTGCTGGAAGGGCCCAGACCAAGAGTGTTGAGAGAACAGTAAAAATGAGAATGCTAGTGGGGGCCCCGGGTCAATGAGAGTTGAGGCCAGGGTCGGGCAGTCTGGGCTCTAGTCCTGCACTCTTACTGGCTTTGGGCAAGTGGCTTTCCCCTAAGCTTCCCGTACTTCCATTTATTTCTTCATCTCTAAGGTGTGGGGATCATGAGAGAAACTTCCTCGTGGGGCCTAGGAGAGGGTCAAGTGGCTGTTGATAAATGTGCAGCGCTGGGAGCAGTGCTTGGCATGGACAGGGCATCTCCCAGTGCCCCCTTCCCACCGCTGCCTGCCAGCCTCTACACTGAGGCCCCTTCTGTGCCCTGCTTCATCTTAGCCTCATGAAGGAGGTGCTATTTATTATATTAGCCCTTTTCACAGATGAGAAAACCAGTTCAAACTCATAAGAGAACTGACACAGCCAGGCTCCACCTTCTTCACCATGATGGGAAGAGAAAGTCTCTTAGCTGCTGCCAGGCTGACACTCCATGCCTAGACCTCGGTGCCCAGCCATGCTGTTGAATGCCATAGTGATTGAGAGTGCAGGCTGGGGCTCTGGGGAATTGATGCTCAGATCCCACTCTGTCACTTGCCCACCAAGTGTCCTCAGTCTTCCCTGAGCCTCCCTTTCCTTGTCTGTAGAATGGGGACAGGAATAGCCCTGCCCCCACCCCGCCAGTTATGGTGAGGACGATATGAGGCGATGTTTGTAGAGGGCTTTGTGTGGTCATGGCATTCGGTGGGTACTGGGTAAGGAGAGACCGTGGGCAGTTTTATCATCGTTCTTACCCGGAGCCCGGGATGAGTGGAATGTGGCAAGGCCGGCTGTCTCTTTTAAGTTTCATCCTTCCCCAAATGCTGCTTCTCTCCCTGGGTTTCCAAAGCCCGGTCCAACTTCCACCTGACTTCCTAAGTCCACACCAGTGAGTCCCTGCCACTGGGTGGGGAGTTAAAAATAAAGCCTGTCTTTAAATCCTTCAAGTAAACACCCAGCTCTCTAAAATTAGCCCCTATGCAACAGGTCTTCACAGCCAGGTGGGGCTTGAGGGATGGAACTTGGTGAGGCTGGTTCCCAAAACCAGGCATGACCCAAGCCTGGCCTCCATGTCACCCCTCCTTGCTTCTCAAGCCTCTGGTTCTTTGGGGAGCCAAGCACCCCCTATTTGGCTCCAGCCCCTATTTGTCTCTCTCTCTCCACTGCCACCAGCCCACTGCAGGCCAGCAGCCCCTCTCACTGCTCCTCCCCAAGGGCCCCTCACTGATTTTCATGCCTCCTTCTGCCCCCGTACTGTTCTCCACACAATAGCCAGCATGACCTTTAAAAAATACCAGCCTGCATATGCCACGCTGCTGCACAAAACTCTCACGGAGCACTTGGCTTGGGTTCCTGCAAAAGCAGAGCCTGAGACAAGGATTCAGGTGCAGATAGTTTATTTGGGAGGTGATTCCAGGAGGAAGAAGCTGAGAGGGAGTGAGTGGGGAGCTTGAGTGAGGGAAGGACAGGCAGTGCAGGTGTGTGTTATTGAGGCATCACTGCAGACCACGGGGACTGGATCCAGCTCAGACCTCAGGACCTGCAGCATTGCCCACCTGAAGGATGGACAGAGGCTCCAGTGCCACATTCACTGGGAGTTTCCCAAGCAGCAGAGGGTAAAGGGGCCTCCTGCAGCCTTAGAGCAGGCTCTGGGCAGGAAGTGGATAGCTGTGCTTTGTGTGAAATCCTGACAGTGCTGGGTAAGTCTGACCTTACATGGAACTGACCTCCACAGCTACGGGGGAAACTAGGGGTAGACACAGGAGCTGGGATGCAGGCACCAGGGGTGCTGCTTTTAGGAGAAATTCCAGATTCCTTACTTTGGCCCCAAGTCCCTTCCTTTCTGGCTCCATTTACCCCACCGGCCTTGTCTCATACCACTCTCCCCATCGTTTGCCTTCAGCCGTGTTTGCTCCAACGGGCTGTTCTCTTTGCTGCCTGTAGTCCTTTGCACATGCCATTCCCTTGCCCAAAATGCTTTTCCTTTGCTCCCTCACTAACACCTACTCTTTTCATCTGGCTTCACTGAGCTTGACTGTTACGCCCTCAGGGGAGCTCCGAGCTCCCTTCTAGTCTGGGTTCCCTGTTTTCTGTGCCCCTGGTACCCCAGACCCAGGTGCCAGCACCTGTCATAGCACCCAGCAAGTGTGTGTGGCCCAGGAAGCCTGGTTGACTGGCGAATGTCAGGCCTTAAACACCCTATAATGGGAAGAACCCATAGCAAGGGCACCCTCCATTTCACTAATTTCAGCCTTGAAACACAGGCAGCAAGAACTTATTGAGAGCCTGCTCCGTGCCAGGTAATGTTCTAGGCTCTTGGGGAAGAAAACCTGAAGATCCCGCCTTCATGGCGTTTGCCCTCCCAATGGGGAGACAGACAACAGATGCACATAAAAGACAGAACCTGTGGTTGGGCAAGCCGCCTTTCAAAATATGTGGTCAGGGTGGCCTCACTGAGGAAGGCCTCATTGACATTGAAGCAGAGACATGGAATTGAAAGAGTTGGCCAGGGGGCTGTGTGAGGGAGAGCCACAAAGGAGAGGGAGGGGCCAGGGAAGGCTTTGAGGTGGGCATATGTTTGGCATGCTCTGGGGACACTGAGGAGGCCAGTGGAGCTGAAGCGGAGTGACGGGGAGGACAGTAGTGGGAGGAAAGGCCAGAGAGAGTGTGGGAAGGTGGCAGGGATGGATGACAATGTGGTACAGTATGGGAGCCACCAGCAACCTGTGGCTATTTCAAGTTAAGTTAACTGAAGTTAAAGAAAGGAAAAGTTTCCTTCCTCAGTCTCATTATCCATGTTTCAAGTGTTCGATGGCTGGGACAGCGCAGAGACAGAACATGTTCCTCATCCCTGAAAGTTCTATTGGATGGTGCCCTCGGGGGCCTTGCAGGTCACAGTAGGGCATAAGCACTTGCCCATACATAACCAGGCATGTATCCTGGGGGCCTTTCCTCACCTCCCAAAGTGGCAATGATGAAAGCATGCAAGGCCATTTGGTCCATCCCCAGCCAGTGTCAGAACGCCCTTCCCATCATCCTGCCAAGTGGTCATTCAGTCACTCAGTCACTGCTTCTGTCTCTCCAGGCATGGGGAGTTCACTGTGTCTCGAGGTGGTCTAGGCCTGCTTTTGACAGATTTGCCTTTTGGATTTGCTGAAACCAGAAGGGTTTTTACTTCTCTGTAGCTTCTACCCACGGGTCCCAGTGCTATCCTTGAGGACTGTGTAAATTAGAACTGTGCTCAGCTGCAGGTAAGAGAAGCTTCCTGTGGCTTGACATGGTGGCTCCTGCCTGTAATCCCAGCCCTCTGGGAGGCAGAGGCAGGAGGATTGCTTGAGGCCAGGAGTTTGAGACCAGCCTGGACAACACAGTGAGACCCTGTCTCTACAAAAAAAATTTAAAAATAAAAATATTGGCTAGGCATAGTAGCATGCATCTGTAGTCCCAGCTACACAGGAGGATTCCTTGAGCCCAGGAGTTCAAGGCTTCGGTGAGCTATGATCACATCCCTGCACTCCAGCCTGGGCAACAGAGCAAGACCCTTTCTCTAAAAAATAATTCTTAAAAATAAGCTGCTTTACCACCTCACCCATTGGGCTTATTTTCTCACATAATTTGATCAGAGAGGCTGTGCCAGGCTGAGTGGCAGCTCCATGATGTCCTCAGGGACCTGCCTCCATCTGCCTTTCCCACCCGCTGTCCTTAGAGGGTGACTTTTGTCCTCACACTCAGAGAGAGCCACCGCATGCCCAGCTTCACCTCTGCATTCCTGACAGCAGAGGTTCAAATGCAACAGTTTTTCTCCATGCAGAAGTGAAGCCACTGCAGGGATTTTCCCTTCCCTAAATGTAGAGAAGGGGAAGGTGAATATTTTAGCCAGATGCGTTGCTTCCTTGAACAAATTAGGCTTCTGTTAGTGGGAAAGAGGGAGAGGATGGCTGTTTGGTGAGAAGCTAGCAATGTCTGTCTCAGCGTCCTAGCAGAGGTTTGAAGACGGTGACCTTAACATCCCGAGTTGTCCATGGTCACCACATCTCTAGGCCCTTCACTGCACCTCTGTTTTCACAGCTTCTCACTCTCTCCATTTTCATACGGAGAAACAGAGGCACAAACATCGTTCATGGTCAAGAACCCAGGCTTTGGAGTCAGATAATACTCATTTCTTGGGCAGGTCACTTCCCTGAGTCTCAGTTTCTCCAACTGTGGGAGGTAGTAGAAATTGATATAGCACTTACCACTGAGGGTAAAATGAGATATAATCCGTGTCAAATACTGCACACCACAGTCATTCAGTAGTGGCAGTTTAAAAAACTTATCCTAGCTATGCTTACTCTTGCTTCAGTGATTCCTCCTGATGTTACTGAAGAAGAACCAGAGAGCCTATATAGGGTGAGATCTCTGGGGATTGCCCACGTGTTTCCATAATCCCAGTGATCACCCAGCAAGAACCTCTCTCCTTAGGATGCTAGAGGATGTGTGCAATAGGACAAGATAGGAGGAAGGGGCAGCAGTAGGGATCCATTTCCAGAGCTACCTTTGGCCCAGCCATATCCTTGTGGGGACCTATCGCATTGCTGCTGCAGCACTGTTCCCATCAGCCCTGGCTTCCTGTGGCCCTGTCTGGGAAGGGGGTGCTCCTACAAAGTCATGGCAGCCTGGTGCCCAAACTGTCATCCCACGGGACTTGCTATAGCTTTGCCAGAAGCCTGGCCCAAGGGGTGGAGGCCCCTGGAGCTCTGACCCACCACGTGGAGGGTGGGAAATACCGCAGAGCGGGTTCTCTAGAAGGGATTTGTCAGAGGCTAAACTGAGGTGCACCCTGGGCTCAGACTGCACTGTCCTTTCCTGACCACCCAGCTGGGATGGATATAGAGACAGGGTCATGTTGCAGAAAGCCTG